ATGATAAAAAATTAAGTCCCACATTTTCATGTCTGACTCTAGTTTTGTAGGTCATCCCCACTCCCATATCTGCTTCTTTTGTGATGAGCTGGGGGAATACCTAGCATTGCTGAATCAATGATTCTCAAAGCAGGACAAGCAACATTGGCATTGCTTGGGAACTTTTCAGAAGTGCCATTCTCAGGCCCACAAAAACCTACTGCATTAGAGACTCTGATACCCTGCAATCTGTATTTTCAAAAGTGATAGTTGATTATCACGCATACTAAAGTCTAAAAATCATTGTGCTAAACTATTTTATAGTCTTGAACTTCTTTTCTATACCGAATTCTAGTACTTCTTCCATTTCTTTATTGAAAGCCAGATTTCTTTACAAAAGGCAAAGCAAATATAAGTGAATCTCTCATTTAACTACTAATTCAAAATGAAAGAGCAAAGCAATACAATGTTATCCTCACTCTCAACTGTTTCTACTGTCCATACTTCTAAAGGGTTTTCATTTTTTATTTTTCTTTTTTGACAGGTGCTACTAGGGATTGAACTCAGGGGCACTTGACCACTGAGCCACATATCCAGCCCTGTTTTTTGTGTTTTATTTAGAGACAGGGTCTCACTGAGTTGCTTAACACCTCGCCATTGCTGAGATTGGCTTTGAACTTGAGATCCTCCTGCCTCATCTTCCCAAGCTGCTGGGATTGTAGGTGTGTGCCACCATGCCCAGCTTCAAAGTTTTTATACACTATATAGGTGTGTGTATATATATATAAATATATGTGTGTGTGTACATGTATATATTTACAGTCAGACTGAGAAAGTATAAAAATAGTTTTCACTTTATTATCTCTATTACCTGGCAAGTTATTTAAACTCATTGGGACTTGGTTACTCTATCTATAAAAGAGATCTAGAAGTTATAGCTTTATAATACTGTTGTTAGCTGAAAATGAGAATCTGGATACTCTAATTATTCAATAACCATTGACTGTTATGGTTTCTACTTGACTGGTTCACAATTATGAATTTATTTTTATGTGCCAGGCACTAGACCTTTGTTTAGCCTCAGAGCAGTCTTAAGAGCTATCATAATACATCAATACCATCATTATACAAGTTCTAACATCCCTTAAATGTTTGGGACGTGCCAGACAGTTTTCTGAATACTTTACCTGTAATAATCTGTATGTTCTGTTAATACTCCCATTTTGTAATCAAGGAATGAAGTACATAAAGTTAAATATACATTTCAATGTCACTCTAGTAATAAGTGACAGAAATGATATTTGAGACCAAGCAAGCTGGCTCTAAGTTCAAATTATTGTTCTTAGCCATTGCACAGTGCTGCTCTCTGCTCTTTTCATGGACAAAAAAATCAGAAGTCTAGAGAGATTAAATAACCTACCATTTACCATTATTAAATAACAAGACAGAGTCATAGAAAAATTTCTTTATTGTATCTATGTCAGTCTTTTTCTCCTTCAACCACTGCCAGTGACATTAGCTATGTGTGCCTTGGCAAGCCATCAACTCACCTGAAGAGAGGGTCTTGATCACCTTCAACTTCTTGGCTTCATGGGTCTCTCCTGTCAGTTCCAGTAAGCTTCATGCTTACTTTACTTTAGGGACATAATCATCACTCATCTCATGATCACCCCAGACTCCATCTTATCTAGGATGTGCTGACACCTTGGACCCTACTCTCCACTTCCTTGTCCTGCCTACATCTCTTCAAACCTTCCTCATCCATCACTGTATACTAGATATTCTTATTTTCCTTTCCACCACTTGTAGCCATATTCAATACTGCCCTGGTATCTGGAACATTGTGTGTTGCATAATGACATTTCAATCAATGATGACCACATTTACAAGGAAGGCTCCATAAGATTATATTATAGCCACAACAGTTTGTTTAAATATACTTTGACGTTTGCACAAGGATAAAATCATCAGCAATGTATCTCTTAGTACATATCCCATGGTTAAAGAAGTGGATCCTCTTCTACTTTTGAAACTGTGCTGATCTATTCCTTCTTTCAGAATTTCTTTCTTTTTAATATTCATCTCCCAAGGCCTAGCTAGAAAGTTTTCCTGTGAAAGGTATGCTTCCTGGTCAACCCAACTGAAATGAGCTTTTCTCTTGTTGGGTTTCTATTTGTACTTCTGTTACGGCCTTTAGCACATGTTGTCTCTTGGTTCTCTCTTTCTCTGTCCTGGAGTACAGGAACCCATCCTTATCTTTCTGAGTGTCTGACTGCATCTTATATATGAAAGAGCACATGTTTTCATTTCAGATATCTCTGGATTCAAATCTCAGCTCCAACACTTACTATTTTCTGGGCCAATCTGTTTCAATTTCCTTAGTTGTTAAAGGAAAGGAAAACTAACACAGAGAGGTTTTGTAAGAATTAGAATAGGTAATATAGGTGGGAAAAGTATAGTAAGTACTCTGAAATCTTAGCACTCTTCCTCTAGCATACTGCTCTACTCTAAATATAATCTCACACAGGCTAGATGTGTGAATGTATAAATGAATGTTGAGGAGGGAGGCTGCTTCAATTTTAGCTGTATAGTAAAAGAAAGTTTAAAGGAGTTTCATACATGGCAAAATGTTTGATAATCAGAATTTTAATTACTTGGATATTAATTTGGATAGCAGTTACATAAAATTAGATAAAATGAGGCAATGCAGATTTTGGTAGATTTTATCCTTAAACAGAATAAAGTCGATTTATTTTCAGAAGCAATGGCAACTAATAATGAAAAGCATAGCTAAAGGGATTAGTGAACTTGAAAGCATTTAGATGATATAATAAAATCATATCGTTAGAAACACTATTCAGAGGAAGTGTGGAAATTTAACATTGAAAGTGACCTACTGGCATATTATTTCAGAAATAATAGTATGAATATTGATATTTAATTTATAGTTAGAATCCTGAAGTTCATTACTGTGTAGTAATTGCATTGTCAGATATAAATCTTCTGGCAAAACTTACCTTCCTGGAAATAAGATAGAACTGGAGCTGTAACAGGCATCCCTTATTTAGAAATGGTTAACAACATGAACAAGTAACTTCACTTATGTATATCTTAATTTCTATATGTACAGTAATAATACCTGTGTCATTGTGTTAAGTAGTTATGGATTTTATAGCATGTGAAATGTTAGCATGATATCCACCAAGTCATATAAGCAATCATTAATTTTGATTATAGTTTATAATTGATTCAACTCTATGTGGGGAGGGGGATGATGTTGTCCCCCCAGGAAATATTTGTTAATTGATGGAAATGTTTTAGTTGTTATAGCATGGGAATGGATGGGGACATACTACTTGCAACTAGTGTGTAGAGATGCTACTAAACATCATGCCATATGCAGGCCCACACTCCACAACAAAGAATTGTCTAGCCCTAAATGTCTGTAGTATGGAAGTTGAGACATTCTAAGAGGAAGAATGAGTAAAATTCATCTCTCACCAGCTTATCTACTGACAGTACTGTTTTACGACCCTTTAAACTAGGAGAGGGGAAGTAATGGTGGAAACTTATAGTCATACAAAATAAAATTTATGCATAATACCTTCAAAATACTTATAAGAAGAGTTGTACACATGTTAGGCAAATGTAGACAAAAAGATATTTTCCCCCTCAAACCTTAGCATGCAATATTATCTTTGACTCAAACCCAAAGATATCTATTCACACAGATGTGACAGAGGAAGCAGGAAATAGAATACTTGCCTGATTAGTGATGATTTGTCTCTGGAGAGAAACCACAGAGGGGAAGTGGACATAGCCTGCATGTATTTTTACACAACAGTATTTGATGATCCTATGAGTAACGGTAAAAGAGCTGTTCCATTCAGCCCTTTATAAAGTCACCTATCAAATTTCGGGAACAAATTAATATTACTCAAGGCCCTTCTCAGAATTCCAGGTTTTTAAAAATTATGCTTTTTAACAGTTTAAATGCTTCCCCTGGAACAATTTGAGATTCTATGAGGCAGCCAACCTTCACTGAATTTGGAGATCAGTGTGTGACCTGATAAAACTAGCCCCAAACAGAGTCAGTTCATTATAAATAGTATGTAACCAAAACAACTCTGCAAGGGCATAGTTCTTAAGTTCCCCAGCTGAAGGACATTTTTGTTCCATAGTGTGAAAATTACAGAAGCTCTTTTTAAATGATGAAATGGAATAGAATTTTTACTTGCAAATGGGTTAGGTGTCTAGCCCCATATTTGTAGCAATTCTTTCTTGAATTGTGTGTAAGTATGATCTTGGAGGTGTGCCTCAAACAGGATCTTTCCAACTACCTAAACCCCCACCCCTCAAGAAAAAAAAAGAAAGAAAAATAAGGTGGAATAGAAAAAGATATATTAAGTATGATTATTTGTATTATAAAAACATGTTCTATAATATGTAATCATTAGATTTCTTGTGAGGCATTTAAAATATGATTCCATTTTTGTAATTTCTATGTATATGCAGTTTCTACAAAGTTGCAAACTTTTATAATGTGAGGCCAGACTCCACTTATGCAATCATTATTTTTCAACAACCCTTCAGTGACTACCAGCTGTGTGTCAGGCACTGTGCCAAGTGCTGGGGCTAAAACAATTGATTTGAAAAACAGGCTCTTGCCCTTAAACAACTTACATTATAGACTGAGATTTGGGCCAAATACATATTCAATGATTCATTAAACATTTTCAATTTGCAATTAGATTTATGACAAAAATAAGTAAGTATAATCAGGTTTATTAGATTCTTCTTTTATTTCTTGTGCATCGAATGATGTATAATTTCTTAGAGAGTTGAAGTATGCATTTACAATGGCTAACCAATCAAGTCCAGAATATATTTTATTATTTCAGAAAAAAAACTACTGTAAAATTATAATTGTTGATTAAGTGTTTAACTTGACCTGAGAAATTGAGCTCTGTGCCTATATGATGATGAATCATTTAAAGAATGTTCTGTCTTTTCTATTTCAGGGTTTTTGGAGCTGCCATACTTCTTACCTCTACCCTAAATATGCTAATCCCATCAGCTGCCAGAGTGCATTATGGATGTGTTATCTTTGTTAGAATATTGCAGGGACTTGTTGAGGTATGGAACTATAGGATGGCATAATTTTAGATTATTTTGTTCTTGAGAACTACTAACTGGTCTTTGTCTAAATAAATATATTTTATTAAGTTGAACTACAGTTTATCAAAGTGTAATACTGGAAAGGTTAGGTAATTAGATACTTGGAGATCAAACTGAGGGTCTCACACACAATAGGCAAACACTCTACTGTTGAGCTACATTCCCAGCCCTTGGGCATTTTATAGTAAGTCCTCAATGTCCTTAATCATAAGTATCCACTGATATAATACATTGAATATATACTTTGGGCATCTAATGGTAGTGATTTGCTCTTGTTTCATCTGTCTGCAGACATTGGAAGACTATCATTTAAATACTTGAGTTGGTCCTAACTATTGCCCCTTCTCTATCCACGGAGTATGGTGGAACTAGATAAGTAATCTAAAATATTTAGACACTGGCAAAACCTCCTCTCTACTTAAAAGTAATGACATCAAAATAATAGAAAAAGGTTAATTATTTTAAGTATCTTAAGTTCTAGACACTACTATCAGGAAGTATAAACTCCAAGGCTATAAGCCTCAGATTCTTTTATATAGATTCTTTTTTTTTTTTTTTTGAGGAATCTCTGAATTTAATACTCACAAACAATTCCTCAAATTTCATAAACTGTTCAGAATTACATGTAACTTGATTAATATGAGTTTTTTTTTTTTTCCTTAATCAGAAAAAAAATGTGAGGTGGAAGAAAGACCTGAGGTTTGACAAACATTCGAACAAGTCACTGAAAAAAATCTGTGTAGTGCATAGTCTGAACTGAAAGATTTTAAAATGAAATTTCAGGGTATTAGTGAGGCCCTATGTGTAGCAGCTTTTCCCATCCTTTAGGAAACAGCCTCTGCCAAGGAGACATGCTTCTTTTCCCATGACTCTGCATCCTAAATGATGATAATTATCTTCTGCATTGCAGGGTGTCACCTACCCAGCATGTCATGGGATATGGAGCAAATGGGCCCCTCCTCTGGAGAGGAGTAGGCTGGCCACCACCTCCTTTTGTGGTGAGTAAAGTTTTAGGAAAACCTTGAATAAGAATTAAAAATGTGGTAAACTTGACCCAGTAAACTCTCTGGATTTGGCAGGGGGTTAAGTTCTTGAACATCATTTCAATTTCATCAGTTGTTATTGGTTCCCTCAAACTCTCTATTTCTTCTGTTTTGTATTTCTCTAGGAGTTGATCCATTTCATCTAGTTTTTAAATATAGTCAAGATTGGTTTTTATTCTGCTATTTTTCTATTTAATACAGTTAGACATAAAAATGTACAAAACGCATAAATTTTAAACACATTTGGAAAAGTGAACATTTAAACAAATGACATCTGTGGATTTATGTTTGCAAACATTAATTTTATTTTGAATTCTATATGGCATTATAGTCTCACAGTTTATTAGAAGTAATATTTGATGCAGCTATTTGCTAGAATTTTAATGGACAAAATTGATAAAAATCCAAATCAAATACCCTATAAAATAATTTAAAATTAATATGTTTTTCAACTAGTTTCATAAGTAATGGTACCATAATTTTCTGTTCATTAAAAATTTTACCTTAGGGAATAAAACTGATTTACTGCTATTTTAAGAAAGAGAATTAATAACATTTATTACACTTCAATCTCTATTTTTAAAACTCAATGCTTTTTTTTGGCTACTTTGAAAATACTTTTGGTTCACTGCTAACTTTTAAATCCTTAAGACAATCAATTTGATCAAAATTTCTATCTTTCTCTCTTTCTCTTTTTTTGTCTGAAGAGTGCTTGGGTTCTTCATTTTTACACCAAAACTGCAAAGCAAGAAAACAGTTTTCCAAATCAAACAAAGGAAAATATAAACCCTTTGCAAAATTCAAGGATTAGGACTATTGCAAATAATTCTAACAATAGGAAATGAGGCATTAACCATAATGAAAGTTTAGCAGTGTTATTGTCTACAATTATTGCATTCATAAACATTTATGTATAAGTCATAAGGCGTAAATATTGCCATATTTGTTATTGTTTTCACAATAACTTTTGGTAAGTTTTAAAATGAATTTAATAAAAAAAACACTATGTAAGCTGAAATTGTATGATTCTGCTACAAGGAGATACTTACCTGACCTTCAAGAACAGATCTCCAGTGTTTGGTTAGTGTTGAAACACTCTGCTCTCAGCTCAGCACACATATAGCATCCAACATACACTTTTGTTTATTTTTGAATCTATTTTGTGTTTTGGGTGTTATTCACTGTATAGCTTTATATCCTGTATAGGTATGCACGCGCGCGCACACACACACGCACACACACACACTCGCACACGTGAGTATATGTATGACTGCAAATGGAACTGGGTGAGCATGTGTGACTTCGTGTGAACCAACCCAAGAACGTGAGATGAAGATGAGAATTTCTATTGATTTCACTGACTTTCCTCCCCTCTTTCTTTCTAATTTAGGTTCTTATGCTGGGGCTGTAATTGCAATGCCTTTAGCTGGTATTCTTGTACAGTACACTGGCTGGTCTTCAGTATTTTATGTCTATGGTATGTTACCTTTCTTTACAGTAGAATTGTATGAAATATGCATAGGCTAAAAGAAATATGGTTGTAGGCAATGAGGTCACTAAGTGTATTTTTCTGTATTCACTCATTTTCTTGCCTTAAGAGGGCGGAGGGGCAATGGGGTACGTAAGATGGTGGAGTGAGATGGACATCATTATGCTAGGTACATACATGTATGATTGCATGAATGGTGTGACTCTACTTCATGTACAACCAGAGAAGTGAAAAATTCTGCTCCATTTGTATACAATGAATCAAAGAGATTTCTACTGTAATGTATAACTGATTAGAACTAATTAAAAGAAGAATTCTTTCCTTATATTCTGTGGTTGAAGAAAATATTTTATAACTGCTACTTTGCCTACATTGCTATTTCTTATTTTAAAATAAAACAAGTACATTGCTGATGAAGACTTTGTAATGTATGAAATATGTTTTTGGTTATGATAATAAAGGATAGCTCTTGATTTAAAGCTGACAAGGAGAAAAGAGGCAGAAATACACTACTCTTTTTTTGGTTTTGTTTTGTTATTGTTTCTTGGTCATTTCCTTGATTCTACCTTCTTAAGACTGAACAGGGAGAGGGAGGTGTAAGATGGTAGTAGTGTTAATGCCACATTTCAACTCTGTGATGAAATATCAGAAATCAGCTCCTGCAGCAGCACATCTTAGTTGTCATTTCCCCATACTTAAAAGCAATTAAGCCCCCAAGTTGAAGTGTAAATCGAAACCCTAAATCTAAATATGCTATTAAAAAGCCAAAAGCTTACTGCTTTAAAGTACCCTAAAGTCGCTCTAAGAGGCATTTTTTTAATAACAAGGAAAGCAGTAGTATTAGATAGCTGAATTCCAATGCTGTTGTCTCTGATTAACCTCATCTTTAAATATGGGTATGATAATCTGAAATATTAATGAAGTCATGCCATAGAACAGTGTTGGGATGCTTCCAAATTTGTCCTGATTCATTCCCATTTTTAAATGTTCTCATCAGAACAAATACAGAATGTTCTTAGATGGTATTTTACAATAGGGGCTCTTCTGGTCAAAGATTATAGATGGTTTTTTGGTTTATTTGCTTGTTTTTGTTTTCATACATGTACTTAGGGTAATGATGTCTGTATCATTCCACCGTCTTTCCTATCCTCCTGTCCCTTCCTTTCCCCTCCCTCCCGTTTGCCCTATCTAAAGTTTGTCTATTTCTCCCATGCTCCCCCCATCCCCATTATGAATCAACATCCTTATATCAGAGAAGACATATGGTATTTGGCTTCCTGGGATTGGCCAACTTCACTTAACATTATATTCTCCAACTCCATCCATTTACCTGCAAATGTCATGACTTTATTCTCTTTTAATTCTGAGTAATTCATTCAGTAGATAGGTTTTTGATTCATGAATATCCTGATTTTAAGACAAATGTGTAGTTGTTTATATTTTTTCTAGGGAGATCTTTTCATTAGATTTTAATGCATACTTTGCCTTAGATCTTCAAAGTAGTTCATAATTTAGCCAACTTAAAAAGAAACTGTTTGGAATGTATAGTTTTGGTTTGCATGAAGACCTCTTTTTTTTAAAACCTCTTTTTGTGCCTTTTTGTTCATTACTTACTTGAATATATGATGTATCTTTAATGTAGTAAGCATTTGTCTTCAAATCTTGATATTTTTTTCATGGGGGAGAGGATATAATTTAGGTAATGTATCATGAATCTAGTCTCTTCATTTCAAATTTTATCTCATTTAATATTTATCATTGAAGGATACAAAGCTATAATCTGAAAATCTCATAGTACTTGCTTACTGTCTCTAAGAAAAATTGGGTTTTGAGCTACACATTAAATATTTATGTATTTTGAATTAACAAGGTAAAAAATGTACAGTAGAGTAAGATGAAAAGATAATACATGCAGAGCAATTAGGAGAGTATATGACACACAAGATGAATTCATTTAGTGGTAATGTAATTATGATTGAATTATGGGTACTCTCCTTTGTTGGATACTTAATATATGCCCTTCACTGTCCTGGATTACAGTTGAAGTTAAAGGATTACCACTGTTAACCTCTTTTTGCCACAATATTATAAAAATGAAATATGTTCCATTTTATAGTGGCAGTTTAGAGGGATTCAGTTACTATTTGGATTATGTAACTAACCAGGGACACCACCTGCATTTGGATCTGGGAGAGACCTATTCTACAACCACTACATTATTCCAAATTTTCACTTACTGTCTGGCCCCAAATCATGCTTGCTTCCATGTTTGGTAATTAAAAGGAACACAGCATATCAGAAGCTCTGTATGGTATTATGGAATACATTTTAGAGATTGAATAGGCAAAAAATAAAGCATCAGAGAGATCAAGGGCATTTAGATTTTTACCCAAGGGACAAAAAGAACCATACGAGGAAAAATGAAATGTCCAGCCGCTGGGAAAACAGAATAAATCACTTGAAATGATTTCTCTTTTTAATGCATATGGATTTATGTTGCACAATATAAACATGTTAAAATGGTGAGAATGCTAAATAAAGAAGCGTATAAAAAAAGACTTGCACACTGTTTATGAATATGGAATTTATAATTTCTTTCGCCCAAAGAATAATCAATAGGCAATGTCAGTGCTGAAAATAGTGTGGTATGTTGTCACATACAGTGTGAAATGTTACCACGGTGATTATAGAGGCCCGTTGGTATGCAATATGACCACTTAGATTAAAATATTCTTCTGGATTTTAGTTAGTAGTCTGTTTATTAGGAATTGCTAACAGGAGAAGGGAATGAACATTTTCCTCTCAGGAAATGCAGACAACTTTCAGATAAGGCAGGCAAATATGAAAAGGATTCACCCTCAGAAAATTATTTGAGGGTAAGAATTTGTTTTGTTCATTATATTTTTTTCCTCACTTGGCAGATTTTCTGGAGTAGGAAATGCTCCAGACATCTGAATACCTTCCCAACTACATCATTCAATAGATACAGGGATTTGTTTGCATATCAGTGCATTCAAAACACCTAGAGAGAAAACCACAGGATCAGACTTCAGGAAGCTCCAAGTTGAATTGGCAAACACAGGAAGAAGTGACCAAAGTCAATTAACCATATTTCAAATCAAATTCTCCATCATAATGTGTCATGAGATTACTATAGTTTTGTTTCAGCACATACTATTCAATGAAGTATTTGTGATAGCTTTCTTTGACTTTCTTATTTTGAACTGTTTCTTGCAGGAAGCTTTGGGATGGTCTGGTACATGTTTTGGCTTTTGGTGTCTTACGAGAGCCCTGCAAAGCATCCTACTATTACAGATGAAGAACGTAGGTACATAGAAGAAAGCATTGGAGAGAGTGCAAATCTTTTAGGTGCAATGGAAGTAAGAACCTTATTATGGTGTATATTCCTACTATTATTCCCCATTTCATCTTCCTTTATCAACCACGCTGTTTTATAATTCTCTATTAAGTAAAACTAAGATGATAACAATCATCCTTTTTTTTTTTTTTTTGAGGGAGGGTTCCATTCATACTTCCTGACTCATTTAGGAAGGATTGCTAGCTACTTCCTCCATCTATATTCCTTTTTTCCCTTTATCTTTTCTCAAGCATCTTAAAGCTTGTCCTGTATTATAGACATGACTTTAAATTTCAGCCAATTTTAATTCAATATTGTCCACAATTTAAACAAGTTACATTAATACTTGGTAATTTTAAGTTATAGAAAATTTCAAATTGGCCATGAAAAGGTCTATTTTTGTGTATTGAATATTCTAAATGTAGGCTCTACACATGTATATTTAGTTACATGTGATTAGTAAATAGTAAGGCATTAGAATGCCAGAAATAAACAGCTTACATGGAAAATATTCTTAACATACTTTAATATACTTATTGATAAAATGTCATTATCTTTTAGGATTTTTATCAATGTCAAATAATATAATGTTGTGAGCTTTTTCTTATCATTTAACCAAATTATATAATTGACAGGATTTGCCTACAAAGAGGGGAAAGATAAATGTTTGGATTCATGTGACATTAATATATAGTACCGAGTAATTAATAAATAGCCATCTGATGTTAAAAAAAAGAAAAGTGGTCAACAAAAATAGTGTTTTCTAGAGATGTACAGTAATTCATCCATTGAATGAGTTACTTCAATTTTTATGCTTAGAATTTGAAGGTATAGAGCTCTGGATGAGAAACAAACATCTGCATTATTAAAACAAAAACAACACAAACCACTCTCATTTCCCTTCCTTAAGCTTGTTTAATTTCTGTTCTTATTCTCCACTTAATTTGTTAGAGAACCCTTGTTTTTGACATATCCTAGGTAAAGAGGCCCATCTTCCATTGTTGCTGAGAATATCTTGGCCTTTACTGAATATGAAATCTCAATCTTTCAGAAGCAAAATTTTCGTGATTATAAAAATCCTTAATTTCTAGTTATTCCAAGAACTAGACAGATTTGGTGTTAGTACTTTTCTCATTCTGTGTTCTTCTGTAAATGGCCTGAAAGTTGCTTTCTATTGGTGGCTACTTGAGAAACAAATGGTAATGGGGTGGGGGTAGGTGGAGTAGGGCTTAGAGTGCTGTGATACCCATCTGCGCATTTTATTGTGAGCAGAAGCTAAATAGAAGCGGGTCTGTGACCAGTTCTGAACTGAGTCTCAATTTCTAGCCCAAATATTTTGATGAGCATATATCCTTATTAGTTTATCATATTTCTTTAATTTGCCGGTTCTTGAAAGACTATGGGTTTAGATCATATATACTTAAAACAAAAAAATCAGAAACTTGGACTATCTAGTTCTCAGAAATAAACCCCTAAAGAACAAGCACATAGGTTGGTAAAATAATCTCCAAATTTCCATTTCCTATATGTTATTGCTTTAAAAATGTCCAATATTTTACTTCTTAATGATATTTTCTGTGTTCCTGTAGCTTTAAAGTAAACGTAAAAATGGAATCAAATGGAAGTATAATTTGTATCTTGTTACTTTGAACTTAGAATTGTGATCAAATTCAATAAATAAGAAAGCAGAAAGAAGTGTAACAGATTGTTTCCTCCCACCTAACCAGTGTACAGAGTTGCTTAAGAGTGATGGCAGGGGAATTCCCACAAAGGAATGGCCCAAAGATTTAGAGATGAGAACTCTTCAGGGTTTAAAAGAAAGATTCACTGAAAACCAGGGAGATCCGTCCAAAGCCTTTGTTAGGTGAACTTGCAAAGTGCTGTAGCCTACGCTATGGTCCACTGCAGAAGAACAGGTGTTCTAGCGAATGACTGAGGTGAGAACGCCTGTGTAGAGTTTATGTGAGGGTTAAGGAGTTCAGCTCAAGGCTGGGGCCACTTTCTTTCAGCATTTTGAGTATCAACCTAGTCATCTTTATCAGTGCCTGGGAATGTTTAAGGCTTGTGCTTGAGGTCCAGCCTTGGGGGAGAACATACAGCTAGTTGAATCATAGAATGCATTTCTCAGTCAAGACAGAAGAAAAATGAGGAGGAGAGTCTGGGATACCCCACCCAGGAAGATCTGTGTACCACATAGGTGTACCAATTGTTAACATATTGACATATTTATTTCATTTTTGTTTTTCTGAACAATTTCAAAGTAAAACACAATATCCATGAATACTTTACATGCATCTCTAGAGAAATAATAATCTTCACAATTTTGGTACTACTATCATACCTAACACAATTAGCTGTTACTCCCTAACATTATCTCATACCTATATCACATTCCAATTTCTAATACCCTGTCCATATTTTGAGACCCAGTCTATATTTATGTTTTTTGACAGTTAAATTTGAGTTCAGATCCAATTAAGGATCCTGGGTTGTAATTGACTATAATTTTTCTTAAATCTCCTTTTTGTTCTTAAAAATCATATTTAAATGTAGCATACAGATAGAAAAATACATAAATTCTAAATAGACAGATTGCTGATTTTTTATAAATTAAACATATCTATGAAGCAAACAGCCGATTTAATAAATAGAGCTTTATCAGAATATCATAAGCCCACCTCTAACTCCCAACAATCTTTATGGAATAACATTAGATATTTTCTCTTATACTTCATGAAGTGCTCTACCACCTAAAGAATAGAATTCTTAGGGGAGATGATCCTGCTATGAATTAAAGAAAGACTTTCTCAACAGGGAAAAGTTATTTGCTTCTGATAATTTTTTGAAATGCAGACATTTCTCTTTGGCCATTTTTATTATCTGTGGAATGTGTGTATTCATCAGGCACCATTTGCCTTGGACATATTGAATTAGTTTTGAAATTGTGACTTTTGAATTAGTCTATGGTGCTGTCACTATAAATTTTGTCTAAAGTCATAGTATTCATTATGTATTATTGGGATAGATTTTTGGTTTTGTTTTGATTCTTTTTTTTTGTATTATACATATTTGTTATCACCACAATGTAACTTCTGATTAAAAAACATTTGAAAAGCTAATTATAGTCACAATATTAACATTTCTGAGGTTCTACATCTAGGAAAAATTACTAAGTTTGAGTTTAAAATATTGTTTACCCCTGTTTTAGTAATTTGATCAGATCAAGGATCTAAACCTAATATTAAATGTAGTTATTTTAGGCTATTGTTTCTTTGCAAATTGTATGTTAGTATTCAAAATAAAGTAATTGAGAGAGTATTTGCGAATATAAGAGATCTTTTTGAAAAATTTTTAAGTATGCTAGTTTTAAGTTTTTAAAGGATATCCTACACAAAGGCAATCATATTCAGATTGTTAATTTTGAATGTTAATATATTATAGGTAACTAATTATGATGTCCTCAGTGTGCTGGATGGTCAAATATTTTAACCTAGCTGCAGATCATGTAACTTTGATAGAACCTTGTACTCTGTTGTCACAGAACTTATTAACATCCATGAGCTATCAAGAGAATTTATATGTAGGTAGTTGAATAATTGGCTTAAGACAGGATCTCAAATACTGCATTTCTTAACTTTTTCATTTATTCCTTTTACCAACTACATTTAATTTGCAATACTTTAAAAAATTATTTTGGATATCACTGATTTTGCAGTGAGTGTTTAGCTGGAAAAAAACTGTTAAGAATTTTAGAATCTATGCTTCTGGACTTAATTTTCTGTCAATGGAATTTTACATATTCTTAAATTGAAACAATTTAATCAGAATAAGAGTTGCATATTTTATTTTCTTCTTCCAAAGATTATTCATACAGATAAGGCTAACTGATGTTTTGAATGGTCAATTCTCTACTTCCTGCCTACTCTTACTCATGCTCCATCATATGCATCCAAAAATGGACAGCACCTATTAGTCCAATTTGAATTAAAAAATATTAAAAATGGTCTAAATAACTGTGTTTTTCAAATTTCAGAAATTCAAGACTCCATGGAGGAAATTCTTTACATCTATGCCAGTCTATGCAATAATTGTTGCAAACTTCTGCAGAAGCTGGACTTTTTATTTATTGCTTATTAGTCAGCCAGCATATTTTGAAGAAGTCTTTGGATTTGAAATTAGCAAGGTATGTGAAAATTAACCTTATTTAAATAGCGAATGACTTTTGTATTTAAGATAGCATTAACTACTTTTGCCATCAATTTATCCTGTGACTTTCTTGAGTTATTCATTTATTCATTCCACAAATAACTACTGGCAAATTGAGGCTGAGTAAAGTGTTTGAGTGTACTACTGTATTCTGCTGTCTGTGAGAAATTGCTCTCTAGTCCTGTGAATACAGGCAAACAAACCATTGTCTGACTCTACAGAGCTTATATCCCAATTGGTCTGAGGACTAGTGCAGCTTTTTGACATAGATAACACAACTTCCTTGGAGTCTGAAGTCAGACATAACATAACAGTAAACAAAAAGTTATTTCAATCAAAGCAAAAGAAATTTTACTTATGTAATTACCAATGTAGCTCTTCTTCCATGTTCTCAGAGATCTGTCCAATTAAAGATGTAAGTTTAGCTAAAAAAAAGAAAATATTCTTGTTTTGTTAATCAAAGTATATAATTTCACAAGCATTTGTTGAGCATAGAATATGAAGCTTTGTGTGAGGTTGTTTAGATGTAAAAGCATGGTTTCTGTCTCCCAAATGTTCACAGCTTGGTGCTACAGATAAAAACTAAGTTACCAACTAAATATAGCACAGCATGTTTAGTGCTGCAGATATTGGTTCACAACTATGGAAGTATAATGATTTTGAGATTTTTCTATAGGGTTGAAATGAACTTGCAATACTACCTTATATTTATATCAGGATTTGAAATTTATAAGTTCTTTCATATTCATGAACAATATTGTTTGTTTGACCCACTGAATAACTATCATCATTCCTATTCAACTGATAGGCAAACGGGAACTAAGGAAATTATTTAAAAATTACCTAAAACCATGCTAGTAATAAGTGACAGAATCAAATTTACGCCTTGATTATTTGATTTCTATTTCATTTCCCTTTACTATGCTATTTAAATTCAGGTAAGCCCTAGATCCATTCAAACATTTAGCACATTATTGAATGCCATCTCTGTGCCAAGCCCTTGGGTGAGTCCTGAATACACTTGTCTGTGCCAGCAATGGTCTTGCCATTTTTATTTCATGTCGTTATATAAGACCAGCTGGGCTCTCGTTATTCATATTATGTCTCTACTTGAAAGACTATCTGAGGCCTGGGACTGAAGAAAACCTTAGTTTAGGAGGAGCTATTCTAAGAGCTCTTTTGTAATCCCTGTTTCTAAGGAAACTGTTTCCTCCATCCCTGAGAAGAATGACTGCTTTAGACAGGGCTCTTCTCTCTGGAGCTGATCAAACATTGCAGGGTAGCCTTTGGGAGCTCTGAGAGGTGTAACACTTCTCAACAAAGGATGCTGGAGGTGTGAGTCCATTTTCATAATCTAGGACAAATATGACACTGAGAGGCTATTAATAAAGTCTAGTCTCCTGGGGGAGAGTGAAGAAGCCAAGTGATGCTAAAGAAACTGTGTGGTCATTTTGGCCTTCTATTTCCAATGAATTAAAAAAGCATGGATACCAATGATGCTTTGCAAAAACTAAACATGATAATCAGATGGGTTGATGTATTTAATTCACTGTTGTATTTTTAGCAAAAATTGTGGATAATTTCTATACACAGAGATTGGTCTAAACATTTTGATTAGACTGGAAAAAAGCATCTATGTCTTACTTAAAAAATGTGCAGAGGAAATAATGGAAGACTTAGAGCACAGGTTTTGGATTGAGGCTGATGTGGCTTTGAATCCAAGTTCTATAATGAAAAATTAATACACAACATTGGGATAGTTTTTGATTAATTCTCAGTCTCAATTTACTTTTTCTATGAATAATGATATTGATACCAGCTTTCAAAATTGAAGCAAATTTCATTTATTTACTTATTTTCATTAGAGTTCTACATAGTGTTTCAGTTAGCAAATTTTAAATGAAATAAAATATTCACATGGAAGTTTGCTCTCTCAAACCTTCATGAAATTGGGTATCCTACAGATAAAACTGTAAGTTCAAGGGCTTAATATTCATTCCAATATAATGACTCAGTTATGACAGAATACATATGTAAGTTAACTATAAATATAATTTTATATGTTAGAACTAACATTTATATACATATAAGTTAACTGTGTAAGTGAGCTATAGTTTTAAACTGATATGTGTGTATATATATGTACATATATATAACATTATATTAGCCTATGCCAATATGAAAGAATTTTCAGTCTCTTTGAGAATGGCATATGAGGGGAAGCCCAATACTAGGGTTATTAGCATTTGGGGATATGCCAAATGAGAGAGGATATATGTTTCTTTTGACCTTCACATTTTGGGGAAGAAAAACAGTATTGAATCGGTGCTACTTGCTATGGTGCATCCTGCCAATTTCTAAACAGAATATATATCAGAAGGATTCCTTCCAAACTGTGACCCAGATGAATAAAGAGGAAGAGGTGGCAATATCTAATGATCTGAAGTTTCCATGAAGAATCAGTTACAGAAGTGGAATGAATCTGGTCTAACTTTCCAATGTATACATACATAAATACATCACAGTGAATCTCCGTCTCATATACAACCACAAGACTGGTATCCTAATGAAAATAAGATGTACTCCATATTTGTATAAATATATCAAAGCATACTCTACTGTCATGTATAAATAAAAAGAAAATCTTTTTTAAAAAGAATCAGTTATAGAACTAAAGCATTTACCCTACTCTTGGGCCATCTTAAAATAATTGGCAAACTTCTTAGTGATCATTATAAATTATGATACTCTTAAGAAAGGTTTGATCAGTCTGATCATGTATCAAATGCATATTTATGATAAATCACTAAAAGATGAGAAGACACTTGGAAAACTTTCATGAAGTTTTGAAATATCTGTGGCCTTGTTGAGGTCACATACAGACTACCTCTACATATTGCTTATGGAAGAAGAGATTCCATACCTTAAAATGTTAAGTCAGTGCACTAAAAGATTCCAAAACTTCTGTCTCATTAACGATTTTGTGCTCTTTGCATTTCCCACACACTTTGCATTTACACCACACTTTTCAGAAAGAATGAATAAATGATAATTATAGCTTCATTCCTTTTTTATTCAAAGTAATGAAAATGTTTACTTGAGTAGATAGTAAATAGCAGAGAACATTCAATTTAAGAATTTTTCAGATGTCTCATATACAGGGATATAATGCACGTTAATTTGGTGGGCTTAGGAAATGTAGTGACTCCCAATCTTTGAGCTTGCTTTCATGAATATCAAAGGCATGGCATGTTATTCTGTGCAAATCTTTATATGGTGTGTTTAAGAATGTTTTAATTTCCCCCATGGATTTTTTTTCTACACATTGATTTCTTGAAATGTGTCTAACTGCTACTAAGAAAGAACCATTGAATTTTTCTAAGATGTTATCATCAAAAGCAATGATGTTCACCTATTGTCAGTTTGCCATATGTTTATTTACCTTGCCTTTGTTAAGCCCCTACTAAATGCTAGGTTTTGAACTAAACTAGTCACATTCATGTATATTATCTGTCATTGTTTGATTTTTCTTTATCAAGTGACTTTGGTGCTAGGCATATGGGTTAAAAGCTTAGTCTTTGGAATTAAGTAGAATTGACTTAAAAGTTGTCTCTAACAAAAACTTAACCCTTTAAAGCCTCAGTTTCTTCATTGAATAATAACATTACAGACTTCCACTTGGAGAAGAGAGAATTAAATAGCCTAAATAGTTAGGATATCTTAGAATCATTCACTCTCTCAACAACCCAAGTTCATGATCATTCAGCTTCACCATACACCATTCTAAAATAAAATAGAATTCTTGTCTCACATCTTCAGTAATGTAACTGAAAAAGTATCCTTAAACACAAATACTAAACACTTACCTATTACTTATCATATGCATGAAGTATACTTAGTGAAAAAGTATACTTCAAAGTATACTTAGTGAGAAACTTCCTTATAGATTACATTGAAAATTTACTATCTATATATGTAGTAGTATATAATTTAAATACATTTTATTTATACTTCCTGCCCCCATAATGTCCCCATAATGCCTAGAGAACCATGCCTTGCACATAATCTATGTTAAATTGATGCTTGTGGGTTAGTTTTTAGTTGGGGCTAAATAGTATAAATTCAGTTCAGAAACTGTAACACTGTCTGACAATATTTCCCAAATATTGATATTTGGCAGAAAATACCTAATATTGAAGAATTAATCTGCACTCTCTGGACTTTTAGTCTGTGGAACTTAAATATCATTTTATATGATGTATATATGTATATATAGTATATTTAAAATGCAAATATAGAATGTTTAGCCTTAAGAATTTGAAAATATAGACTCCTCATTGTGTATCAAAAGCACTTTTTTTTTCTCTATTTCACCACCCCCCTTCCTTCATCTTGCTAAAGATGAATCTGTGTAAACATATGTAGGACTATAAAATGACAAACAAATGTGTATCATTCAATGATAAGATCCAGAAGAGTTAATTCATGAACTCAAAATTTACTGAGTCACAACATAGAACTAAAAAAATTTCCTTCTTCATGAAGAACAAAAGGTATCAAAGTAAGCTTGCTTGGTCTTTATTATTTATTCAGTGGAAGTATTGCTTTGTCTAGGAATGAGTAGGAGGTCATTTGGAGACAACATTTTGCCTCCCTTTTTTCGTGAAGAGTTGAAGATGGATTCGGAAACCATGGCCATTGAATCGCCCACATACTTATGGCCACGTACATCTTTCCCCCTTCTTGTTTTTCATCAGGTCGGCATGCTCTCTGCTGTGCCACACTTAGTCATGACAATCATTGTGCCTATTGGAGGACAAATTGCAGATTTTCTAAGAAGCAAGCAAATTCTTTCAACAACTACAGTGAGAAAGATCATGAACTGTGGTGGTAAGTGCATGTGTCCTAGTAAGGACATGGTTTTAGTTCAGTAAGTTCTGATCTACATAAGAGGATAACTTCTCCTGCACAGATGAAACTAATTAATTGCAACTGAATTTGTGCCTTCAGCAGTCGTTTTAAAGTATTTCCCTATCTTACTTCAAACTTTCATAACTCCTAGTTTTGGTGCATTGCATAATATTATTGTTTCTATTCATTGTAACTAAACCTTTCCAACCACTGAAACTTTATGTTGCTTTGGGTATTTACAAAATTAAAACACAAGGAAGGTACCTGCAATCGCTGGCATAATTTATTGCTATTATTGTCATTTTAAAATTTAAGTTTTCTCGTGTGTGGAATGTCTAGATCAGTAAGAATGAACATTTTTAGCAATTTTGGATCATTGGTCAAATTCACTCAAGTTTCTGAAATACTTCCATTGTTTGCTCCTGAAGGTTTTGGCATGGAAGCCACATTGCTTCTGGTTGTTGGCTATTCTCATACTAGAGGTGTAGCGATCTCATTCTTGGTGCTTGCAGTGGGGTTTAGTGGATTTGCTATATCTGGTAAGACACATTTTTCTTTCTTATGTGTATGATGTCCTGATTTTGGCAGGTGGCTATATAAATACATATATCTAAATTTTGTATATTGAGTAACAGTTAAGACATTTAGGAAATATTATTGAGATGTGTTACTATTTACTTTTTTCCTTGTGTACTGATTGTTTCTTGCTGTTGTTTCTTAATAGAACATTTCCCTTATTCTATGGCTTGAGCATTACATGTTAAATACTGAATAAGAAATCATAACTCATTCATTGCCACTGTATTCCTGAGCTAAATAATCAGAACATGATAAGCACCTGCTATGTGTTGAGCTGTGATATGATTCTCTACAGATATTTATTTCTAAGAGATCAGTGACTCCCTGAGTCAAAGCTTATTGTGTATTTCAGGCTTCAATGTCAACCACTTGGATATTGCTCCAAGATATGCCAGTATCTTAATGGGCATTTCGAATGGTGTTGGCACATTGTCAGGAATGGTTTGCCCTATCATTGTTGGTGCAATGACCAAAAATAAGGTAAGATGGACCAGGATAGATATTCAGTTATAGAAAATTCTTTGTCATGATTGGAAAAAGTTACTATGTCTACCTTGGTATGCTCCTTCTGAATGTGATTCAATCACCATATTTCTGAGTAGGAAAGATAATTGAGATCCATAGGAAAACCTCTCCCAGAAATTTTGAAAGAGTCCACTTTCCCAATCAATAAGCAAGTTGTTCTTTGACAACTTTTAACACCTATTTCTTTTAAAAATTTTTGTGGTGCTAGGGAGTGTACCGAGGTCCTTGTATATAACATGTATTTCTGGTGTTTCTGGTGCAGCAACAACAACAACAACAAGATTACCCCTAGCTTATTAAAATAGGCAAGCAGAAGATTTCTCAGCTTTATTTGTAAGCCTCAATTTTGAATCTCCTGTAGTTGTCCATGGGAGAATATTAATATTAGCTATTTCTCCTTATAAACATACATGTAGAGCTTCAAAATTATAGTTTAACAGAAGGAGATAAACAAAGGAGTAAGAAAAAAAAAAGATAAGTATATGAAAATACAAAGAGAATATGAGAGCTTTTTTAAATCAGCAGGGTGTAGATATATTTAGAGTTTCACTTTAGAACTTTTAATTAAAAAATTAAATAATGAAAGAAATAGTTTTATAAAAAGGTTCTAGAAAAATGTTTGCATGATCAGATCCAGTAGTAATGAGAACTATAATGGAGAAGCATTCAGATCAGATGCTAAGCTTTTCAGTCACTTAGGGTTTGTTCTCACAGCACCATGTCTTGTCCCTGCAGTCACGTGAAGAGTGGCAGTATGTCTTCCTGATCGCTGCACTTGTCCACTATGGCGGAGTTATATTTTATGCAATATTTGCCTCAGGAGAGAAGCAACCCTGGGCAGACCCTGAAGAAACAAGTGAAGAAAAATGTGGATTTATCCATGAAGATGAACTTGATGAGGAAACAGGGGACATTACTCAGAATTATATAAATTATGGTACCACCAAGTCTTATGGTGCCACAACACAGGCCAATGGAGGTTGGCCTAATGGTTGGGAAAAGAAAGAGGAATTCGTACAAGAAGAAGTACAAAACTCATATACCTATAAAGACCGAGATGATTATTCATAACAAAACTACTTGCTGGATTTATTTTTAGTGTTTGTGATTAAATTGTGATTGCACAAAATATTTTAAAACATGTCGTGTAAACATGTAAACATATCAACAAGGCAAGTCTTGCTGTAAAAATGAAATCAAACAAATTCATGAAATTATCATCAAGTGCAATCTGTAGAAGTTGTGAAATTACATCATTTCCATATTGGTCCTCCATTCTTGTGTTTGTGATTTAGGGTTTCACTATAGAAACAAGTAGGATTCATTGGATTCATATGCGCTAGAACTCATCACCATTTAATAAAGCACAACTAAAACAGTTGGCACATCTCATCTTACAAAAGTTAGGAAGCCAAAGCTACTTGATCATGCAAAATGCACTTATATACTTGTTACCCTGTGCTGCAAGATATCATACAGAAAGTTCTGTGTTTTAAAAAAGAAACTGTCAAATTGGTTGCATCAGAAGTTGACAAAATTAAGTGTAAATTATGGAATTGAGATATAACTCAATTGAAGAAATATATTATGTATTAGCAGCTAGCAAGTTGAAATGAATAATTATCAAGATTGCATAATGTGGAATATTTTGTGATCCTCAAAAGGAATAGATATCTTGCAGTGTTTTATATGAAATGCTTGGGCACAAACACTTATTTTTGTGAAAGAAAACTTGTAAAGTGAGGGGTATGCTTCATGTTCTTCCATTCATTACCTAACAGTATAAAAACACTTCACATTTCAATAAAATTCAACTTTTCATGTAGCATATCACATAACTTTTTTGCAAAAAAAGATATAAAAGAAATAGACTTCAATGTATTTTTATTACAACTTTGTACTGGTTGTAACTTGCATTAGGGAAAAAATATATACACCATAAAGAATCTAATAAGAAATTTACTATGAAGGTATAGCCCTTATAATGCAATATTAACAACAAAAGGAATAGAAAATGATTTAGATATTCTTCTTCCTTAATAATTAAATACTATATGACACTTGTGCCACAGAGCTATATATAATATGAAAAAATAAACTTAATAGAGATATTGTAAGTAGACAATTTTATTATTTAAAGTCCCACCTAAGAGATATTTGTCTTAAATATATAGGACAATAAATTATATTAAAATTATATCTATATATATCTATATATCTTATACATATCCATACACACAGAAACATTATAAAAAAATCTTCACACAAAACCAAAAATAGCATACGCCTAATGTCGGGTTAGGGAATTGCAATTTCTACTTTCATAGAGTCATAGAATTTTAGATGGGGAAGAGGCATTTTGCTTGCCATTTCTTAATATAACTCAACAGGAATTGCAACATTTGTGTACCAAGCAATAAGTGCAATGCATAAAATTTCCTGTCTGTATATTATCTTCATTTTGCTTGTGGTAGCTTTTCTGGGTGGTTGGAATGATTTTTTTTCCTTTCAAAAAAGTTAACATCAGATCTCTTTATAATGTTCTAAAATAATAATAATGCATTTCCCCATTCAACTCCAAATATTATTGGTGTATTTAATTGTCTGTTCTCGATATTTGATATGTTCATTGTATTGTGCTAGTGACTGGAGGCCCTGCTACTGCAAATGTAAACCATAAAGTTTGTTAAAAAATGCAAACCATTCTTGACCTTAAGAAAATAAAAGTATCTTTTTGCTTTGTGTCTCAAAGTGATGTAATGTGACCATAGCTTTTGTTGTGATGAATAAAAATAGCGTGAACTCTCATTTTGTTGCAGGAAAAAAGTGTCAATAAAATGCTCTATTTATCCTTTTGTAAAAAGGAGTACATTAGTTTGGTTTTATCTTAGTTGGTAGCTTTGATGTGAATTTGACTGATGGATGCTCCAATGAAGCCAAGTCTAGGCTGAAGAGTAATAACCTGTTCAGCCACTTGGGATTTAATGGAATAATATGGTATTCTTTAGATTGTGTGAGACATGGTTTCCTAGGGAGAGTTTAAAGCTAAATAGGTCTCTGAGTCAAATTCTATCATTCAATGACAGTATTGTTATAACTCCTGCTAAATTTAAAGAAAATTTGGAAACAAATTTGAAACTTGTCAGTTCAGGACTGCCACCTAATTTTCATTGCTCACATAACTTATGCTAGGTACTACCACTCATTTTTCTATAGTATCTTATGTAACTCTAAAAATGACCCTCCAAAGTAGGTATTCATTTATTCCCAGCTTACAAATGAAACAAATGGAAGTCTGGAAAATCTGATTAACTTTTCCTAGGTAAAATGGAGCAATGGCATTATGTTTCAATGTTTTAGCCAAACCACTTGGCAGGGAGCAAGGCAGCCAGTTGAGTGTTTTTGCCACGGGAGAGGTGATCATTGAGCTCTGATTTCTCATTTTATGGATGTGTAGAAAACCAATGCTATATACAATCTACAGAATCTATATATCTAAATGCAATCTATAGAATCTATGTGTGTAGAATAAATAGAATCTGAGACACATAAAACTGTATTGCTCAAAGGATTTATACAATGATTTAGTTGACACAAATTATTTTAAAAATGATAAAACTGAAAATCAAAAAGGAAAACCTGGGGATGTGGTAGTGGCTCAGTGGTAGAGCACTTGCCTAGCATGGGTTCATTCCTCAGCATGACACAAAAATAAATAAACAAAATAAAGGTGTTGTGTCCATCTACAAATATATATATTTGTTCATGCATATATATATATATATATATATATATATATATATATATATATTATATGTGTATATATATATATATGTTCATGCTTGTATGATTATGTCAAAATAATTGTATGATTATGTCAAAACCCTAATATTACAAAAAAGGAAAACCCACTTGATCTAGGGGGTACAGAGATTGTTATGGTTTTGAAATAAATAATCACATTAGGTATGTGTTTATTTTAAATCAGGTTTTTATTTAAGAAATTGACTAAATAAGTTATTTATTACTTCAAAAACTACCCCCGTATTAACCACTCAAATTGTCTACAGCAAGTGTGGTTTGGTAGGTGGGAATTGAAGGGATACATTTTCTTTTCCTACCAACAACTTCATAAAGAAACAAAGAGACCCAACCTAACTCTAAAGGAGGTTTCATGTATCATCTCTTCAAAATTTGATGGCAGGAATGAAAATATCTTGACTCCAAACTATGTAATTTTCCCAACTCCATGACCCAATATTCACATTTTTGTAGAATTGCTCAATGGATATCTTCAAATATTACCACCAGTCACATTTGTTTTCTCTTAACCCAACCACAAAGCCATCATCCCTTTTTACTCTTTGTCCTTCCTTTCTCCTCATTTTACTCATCACTATTAAATGTATCTAGTATTTTGCAATTTGCAACATGCTTATACAATTCTATGTTCACATTTGTCTTGTAAAATTGGAAGACCATGCTTCATTATTAGTATTTCTATTTTCTAGATGAGGAGACCAGGCCTATGAGTGTAATTAACTTCTTAAAGATTCTCCAGGCAATATAAATGTAGTACTTGGTGTGAGGGAGATTCATTAAGTAGAGTTCAGTATTAAAAAATGAAAATAAAGGTAATCAATAATTTTGCTATCTTGAGAAAAGCATGATCAACATTTCAAAAATATGAAAAACACACAGAAAACTTAAACGTATTTTGTAATTTGCAAATTTGAAACTACTCTTCATTTACTGTTTCAACCTACGTTCTTCATTCCATAGCATGGTATGTATATTTCCCTATTTGAATAGATTTCTCTCATTTTTAATATTCCACTAAGTGATATCAACCACAGTTGTGTGTAGGCCTTAAGATGTTTCCATTACTAATGGACTGCAATACAATGGTGGTTCTATAAGTTACAAAAGAGCTGGAAATTTTCTTTTGATAGGTAGCATAAAGCCTACACAATGTCAACACCAAAAAATTTACTTACTACACATTTGTAAGATTCCAGAGTAAAGACACATATTGCAGTTCTATTATGTATAAAAGTGTAGCACATAGTGTTATGTACAATACATAATACTTGATAATATACTAATATTTTATGGATCAATGTATTTACTATATTGTACTTTTTATTGTTATTTTAGAGTTTACTCCATATTTCTTGGAAAAAATTTATTGTTAAGCAATACACCACATCACTACAGTAGCAGTGAAGTGTATCTTGGTTTGCTGCTTCTCTTAATTGAGTCAAGAACCCACATGGAGTGATTAACTTGTATACACCTTTAGGCTTGTGTAAGTGCACTATATGATGCTCACACAATGACAAGATCACCTGATGTGTTTGTTAGAACATATCACCATCATTAAGCAACACACTGACTTTATATTTAAACTACTCATCCCATACCTTATTTATGAGTATTTTAGCTATTTCTAATATTTGGCTATTGTAACCAACATTGTTACAAAGATTTTTGTGTGTTAATATTTTTATTTGCTGCCCTTTCCTTTCATTTTTCTCCTTGTGTAGACAATTTTGAGATATACAAAGTCACGCATGCATATATTTAACTATAGTCATTATGAATGATCAAGTTACCATCTGTGGCGTATTATTCCTGAGTTTGTCTACAGAGAATAAATACTACTGGAAATTGGCTTTCCTGGGGTTTCACTCGATAATTGCTTATTAAGCACCTACACTATGTGAAGCCCTGGGGAAAGAGTACTGAGATGAAAGACCCAGTTTCTTATGTCTTCCAGTTGCCCATTGAGGCCACACAGACGTGACCAGGAGAAGCAGATCTGCACATCAGGCTTTCACTAGCAACCAGGAGAAAGGGTTTTTCTTAAACCCTAAAACTCCCAAAGATAGACTGACTTCAGAATGCTTCCATTCCGTGTCATTTTTTTTTTTAATTTAAGTAAGGGAACTTTTCTGATTCACAGAGACCCCCCAGTTGCAGGGAGTCTAAGTCACTGGGGGAAATCAGCATATACTCTTCTGCTGAAATTTTGATCTAAGCTTCTAAGGGCATTTTCCAGTTCTTCAAATTTCTCTCTGTTGTGTTATTCCCCTGGGCTTCTTATAACCTGTGCATTTTCCTTTCCCATTTTTTCCCTTACCCTATATGTCACATCCTTAAGTTTTAACAATGCATAGTAGCTAC